CACTAATAGTTCTCAGTGAGAAATTATCTGAAATAAATTTGCAGTTTGAAAATGGTGCTGCATGAGTAAAGTTTCCATAGTTTATCTGTAATTACCAGAGTATGGATCTTTATATAAAGTTCATTTGAGCAATTTGATTCTGCTATTCATTACTGTTTTATCATTAAGGAATAGTATAAAGTTGATCCGGAAGAACTAGAAAGCTTCCTTGTGAGATAGTGGGGATGAGGTTGGTTAGGATTGGTTCAGGCATAGGAAATCCATCGCTCTTGACAGCAGTCAGAAATTAATTGCTCCTGTAATAAGAAAAGTTTTCAATGGAAGGGTGTGTCCCTCAGATCTTCATCTAATAATAGATCTTTCCTCCTTGGGCACTAGTGGTTAACCTCAGGAACTTGAAATAAATGGGTAACTGACTTTTTCAAGAGATTTTATATGGTAAATTGGAAGTAATTGCAGGCCTGATGGATAGAAATCAGGCTGCATAAAATTAAACCATTGAGTCTGCCATCAAATCTGTGCCATATCACTTATCCAGTTGATGTACTAAGCAATATTATCAAATTTCCAGGACTTGTCTTAACCCTCTCCCCCCTGTTAAATTTCCATCCTTAGGATAGAACAAACTGAATCAGCAATCAAGGCAAAATATGTCAGCCACTCATTTTGGCACCTCACGTAGGTGGATTTTGTGGTGGGAAAGTATCATCACTCTTCCCCTCACCCCTTATTTTGAACACTGGGCAAAATTGGCTTAATTAGGTTAGAAGATCATTGATGGAAGTCCTTAAGAACACAGTGTAGTTCATAAGTCTACCTTCAGTTTTGGTAATTAAAGTAATTTGAAAAGAAGTTAGTGGAGAGAAAAATTGTTCTGTAGCAGCATGTTTTATCTGCTTCTATTAACAATGGCCAACAGGCTCTACCAAATTAGAAGTTTGCATGTTCAACATCTAAAGTGCATTCTTTTGACAAAAGCATGAGTCACATGAGCGTAAACTGTGAATTTCTTTGAATTTAACTAAAGTCATCAGAACAAAGAAAAGTCCTTTTCCCAAACTGAATAAATGATAGGCCCCTTTTTAGCACCACTTTTTAAAAACATTATTGAAAGAACCTTGATCTTCCAGGGCAGTCTGACTATAGTCAGTGTGCTCTGAAAAAGGTTAAATGAAGCTGGTGTCATCCATGAACATATGGCTATCTTTCTTAATAAAAAGATGGTTTTGAATCCAACTGTAGCTTCTTCATATAAGAAATCTTTATAAAGAGTGTTCCTTTTCCCCCCCAGACTCACAGGATCATTGTTCACCCATTTTAGAAAATTTGTACAAGAAAAAATGTGGGTGTAACGATGAGTAGCCTCAATTGAAGGCCTATCACACAACTGTATTATGGCAGGAGCAGGCAGACAGTGGAGAATACCCGGAGATAACAGGTTTGAAGCTCCCTCCGAGAATACTGGTCCTGCCCAAAAGTTATTTGCTCTTAAGATCTGACAGGGTCAAATCATAAAGTGCTATGGCTGCTGGAAAAATATTTCCCCATCTTGTGATGAAATTCACCATTCATTCACTAGTAAAATTCCTTAGCAAGGCAGTTTCCTAAATATTTACTGAGTCATTTATTTAACAAAACTTCAAAGTGACTGAGAGCTGTGCACTTATGAGTGTGTTCATTCAGCAGCTCATGAATTCCATTTTAGGTTCATCATTCCACCACCCCATCTTTCCTCTTGAATCATTAACATTATTTATTGTTGTTTTTTCAGATTGCATGAGCCTGCTATTGGTTTTCTGTCGAGATGTTCTACTCTCCTGTCAGTCTCCTTTCAGATCATAATGCTCTCCGCTTATTCTTACTTTTGGTTATTTTATGTACTGAAGCACTTTTACAGCCAAATCCTTCCCCTCTAATGTGCACTCTTGGCTCCCATTGAATTCAATGGTAGTGGTGGGAATATGAATAAAGTGTTGTAGGTGAGGAGAACAATAAAGTGGTCTGAACTGGCAAAAGAATACCGAGGATCCCTTGGAATAGGACAAGTAAAAATAAACTAGTCTGACTTAAAAAGGGGATGGAATAAAATAGTAAGACCAGAAAGAAAGTAATCAAAGGAGTGGAAAATACAAGTAAATAATGTTTCATTTCTACAGATGTCATACTACACTCTACCATGCTCAGCTTCCTTTTCTACTTTTCTTGTAAGCTTAGTTGTCTCCCTTACTTCCCTCCAATCAGATGGGTTTCACTTCTCCTCTCCTTACTTTCAGACAAGGTAAGACTATATTGAGATGCATTGCTGGGGACTTTATTACATTCCCCTCTTTGTTTGATCTTTTCAAACTAGAGTGTGCAATTCCATATGAAGACACTTAAATTTTGCAACATCTTTGAAAGTCAGGCCCTTTAAGTACAATATACTTTTTATATAGTATACTGTGCAATATACTTCTGGTTTGCCACAGTTGTAGCTCCTTTTACAACAATGCCCAGTTCCACATCCCTTTTCTGTCTACCTGTTAAAGCTTTTTCCATTTCAATAGTTTAATTCATGAACTTTAAACTTATTCTTTTAAAACATTCAAAATTCAGCAGGGCTGACATTCTTGTAATTCTGAGTTTCTTACTATTACAGCCGTTGGTGGTCTTCTCCTTTTCATAGTTGCAATATTATGAATTTTGACCAATCCATTCCATTCATTTTGTACATGCATCTCTGCACTTTGGCAGAAGTTTGGTTCCTTATAAAGACTCACTCTCTACTGAATGTCTCAGTCCCATTCCTTTCATCTTAATTCACTACATATTGTTCCTGTTCCTTACACTTATCAACTATCAACACCAAGAGTTTCAGCCCCTAAAAATTTGACTTTTGGATTAATACATGGCTCTTTTTGCATTTTCTTTACCGTGGCCCTTATATGTGTAAACCTTCCATTCTGTGACATGAGAAAACAAGGGAAAATAAATTTAAAAAATAAATGTATCCCCTGTGTTATTACATTCAAGTTCTTTCATGCTGCCCCTAAATACTTAATTTTCAATGTGCTGCAGAATTGTGTGCTGCAGATTGAAAACACAATTGCTTTGCAAAAATTGTCATGGGGGAAACTGGAGATTTTGTCAGGAGGCAGCTGTGGCTTTTAGCACCTGTGAAGGTCATATGTGCAATACTCAATTATTCTCATCCTGCTTTGACAGCACATCCCCTTGGCAGATGCCTTAGAGCAGCTTTCAGTATTCTTGATGCGTACAGAAAAATATTACCTAAACCACCATACACCAACACAATATACATCTCCCAACAAGTCATTGTGAAGTGCTGTGTCACAGACTGAACAGTTAGGATCACTGTATTTCATAATGGTATGAGACATTGATCTTGGAATAAATCATTTCTTTTTAGCACACCAACATAGACTAATATGCAGGTGTATGTTTGATCTTTAATTTATTTTTTTTTAATTTCTTACAATAAAAGTCCTTATTCAACTTCTCTCTTCACTCTCCCTCCCATTAAGACAATATGAAGGGCCAAGTTCTATCCTCTCGTGCAGTTTCCCCTGAAATGGATGCAGGTTACACGCATGTATCAGAGAACAGAATTTGATCAAAGAGAGTAGCACAAACAAGAGAAAAAAAAGGAAACGACTCCAGTTTTTAATTAATTTCTTATCTCACCACCTTATGTGAAAAGCATCCCATGATGTGTAAGGTACCACAGCAGGAAAACCTCACAGATCATACAAACTGTTGGCCATCTGTGGTGCAGATTCCTGCAGAACTACGGTAATGACAATAGTGTGATCTAGAGCATGAGTTTTTCAGTAATTACAAGATTCTTTCCCTAGCACATACGTAATCCTCAGTTAACAGGCTGCCAAAACCACAATGGGAATCAGCTTTCTGAAATGGCATAATGCTGATAAAACCTGGTGCTAACATGTAGGAAAAAATACCTGTGTTCAGTCCCACTAGATGCAGGTTTGTGTAACAGGTGTGTGCCTGCTTAAAATAAAGTGGCCTTAATTTGGTTTATGAATTAATTTGTGAATTAAGCTAAACCAAATTAAGGGCACCGAATTCTGAAGGAGTCCACACAGGGATTTAATGCAGTTTCACTAATCCACATTTAATCTGAATTAACAAAGTGTCAGTTTACTTTCATGAGTGTCCCCATGTAGACAAGCCTTAAGTGAAATTCAATTTGCTAAACAGGATGAAATGACAGTTTTTACTCTGTTCATATTCTTGATCATGATAGATTTTTTTAAGTGTTTTTGTGCCTGTGTGTCACACAGGTCCCTTCATGTTACTCACCTATATTTGGAATAATTTTGCCTTCCATTAGCTGTGATTGCCTGAAACTGATATTTGGAGTAGGATTTTTTTTTCCTTCTTATTTTTCTAGATCACTCGACTTTTAATTTACTGCAATTAAGCTTCTGAACACACCTACTACTAATTCATTGGGATGCACACAACTGACATTGTGGTTCATATGCCCTTAATCCTATACATTATTCCAGCCTTTAAATTTTTAGAAGACTCCTGGCTCTTATTTTTATGAATCACAAAGACACAATCTTAGTCCTTTCAGTATAATTGTTGTCTTTATTTTTGATGTTGCCCTTATTTCTATAGGGAACTCCTGCTAATGTTATTGTAGATCATGCTCATCATAATATTGAAGTCTTTTACTTCTCTTTCTGTGGGGATACCTGGATCTAATTCTCTGAGACATTCTTGCACTACATCTGTTGGGGATTTCATGCTCTGAAATCTTGACAGCACTTCTGGCCTTATTTGTATTGCTCACTTGAGCCTTTATTGTTTCGTATCCCAATGTTGCCTTTAATTCTATGGAGAACCCCATATTTATTTATTTTTAAATCCAGCTGTAACAATCATTCCCTTAAGGTAAACTGACTATATTTTTCAGAATTTAACCACATTACGACAATTCATATAATTTAATGAGTACTGTGGTCCATTACCTTCAAAGATGACTTAATCCGAGGTTCTGGTTTCTGTCTGGTAACTGTGTTTTGAATAAGCAGTGACTGATCTGTGCGAGAATCATAATTCCCATGTTCTGAATCATCTGTATATGTGTCTTTGTCTTTTCCTATATCTCAGGGAAAACAAAACAAAACAGATAGGCTCATTTGAGATTATAATGGAGACACTCTTATAGATGTAGTTGAGATAAGAACATTCCCTTTTAGCACCCTCATTTGTGGCTTATAATATTCCCCACTTCCCTACAACAAACTTTTGATCTGAACTTTTATCATGCTTGGTCTCAGTTTAGATGTGAAGCTTTTTGGTTTATTAGAGTTTACATAAAATCTGTTCTGCAGCACTGGAGTTATCAGAGTGAAAAAGCATGATGTTTTTCAGTTGTTCACAAAAAAAAAGTGTCATGTTCAGAGGCTTTTGTGCTTTTATATAACTCTACAAAGTTTGGACTTGACACTTCCAATTTGGTGTGCAACCCACATACAATGTGGTCTCATGAAAGTCAGAAGATTCTATTCCCAGTTCTGCCATAGGCCTGCTGTGTGACACTGGGCAACACATGTTAACACTCTGTGCCTCTTTCCACCATCTGTAAAATAAGTATAATATGCTATTTTCCTTAATTTAATTTTAGGAGCTATTTAGATCCCTCAGCTGTAGTCAATGGGAACCGAAGATATTTGGCATGTTGCAGGAGGTGCTCAGAACTTCATAGATCTGGCTCTAAGTGTATACCGATTGTGATTATCCAGTACTCAAATTTCTTCATAAACATAAGATAGCTTTGGACAGCGGAGGGCCCACTCCCCAGCCTGACAAGCCTTCCTCCCTTGCAGGTCTCCTGCTACCTCATACCACCCTGAGTGGCTTGCTAGAGGAATTAAATGAAAGATGGGAGTCAGAGTTTGAGTTCTAATATTAGCTGTACCAGTGGTTTTGCTAAGTGGCCTTGGGCAAGATGCATTTCTGCTTCCCCACACCCAATCATTAAAACAGGGAGCATGCTTATTGTAAGTAACCCACAGAGATATCGTGAAGGTTAAGGTCTGTACAACAGTTGAAACATGTAAAGCACTACTTAAGTGTTGATTATTGTTATCACTTGTATTATGGTAGCACCCCAGCCAACATCAGGAACCCATTGTGGTAGGCACTGTAAAAACACAGAGCAAAAGACGGTCCTTGCTCTGAAGAGCTAAAATATAAATATCACTGTACCTTTCTTTCATAAGTGTATCCAAAGGAGGGAAGGGAGAAGGGCAACAATTCTGACAGTCTTTTTCTAGGGCTTTTCTGGTTACCTCCAATTTAAATTGTAAATATATATTTGGGACAACTCCAGTGCATGTTGCCCATCCAGTTTGAATGTTACAAGTGGGCAGAAGGACAGTTTTGTGATTAAGTCATTGAACTGAGATTCAGGAGACTTTTGTTTAGTAAACTGGTTTTACCACAGACTCCTTGTGTAACCTTGGACAAGTTACTTAATCTCTGTGCTTCAGTTCCTCACCTCTAAAATTGGGCTAACCCTTCCCTACTTCATCAAGGGATTTGTGAGAAAAAAGTATTAAATATTTGTGATGTATACAGAGTACTTCAGTACCTAGAAAGTAAGGATATTAAAATGGATAAAAATTACTTTCCCCACCGCATCAATGACATTGGTATATGCATATATGTTAGGAGATGCTTTACTTTTGTGAATTTATTTTTAAAAGAAAAGAGGAAGAAAGAAATTGTTCCTATTGCAATTGCAATCCAGCCATATTGCAGATATATAGACATATTTTAAGACAAAGTTACCACTACATACAGTGAGCCAAGTTCTCATTTCAGTTTTCACATCAACTTGTGAAAATTCAGAGTAACTGGGAACAGCATTTAACCCAGTAATTTTAAACCTTAAATATGCACCCAAGAACAAGTAATGGATGCTGTGGGAATGATAACCTTGAATTTTGTTTGCTTAGAATCACAGCTGCCGTAATATAGTATTTTTCATTTAATGTATACGTGAGCACTTGAATTCCACATAGTAAATCTTACAGAAAAGAAAAATAACCAGGATTATTTTTATGCAGCCTATAAACATTGAGATACATTATTAAATTAGGAGTTTCATGGAGAATTGTTTATTTGTTAATTTAATTATTAACATTACACATAATGAGCACCCAGTAACTCAGATCCTGCTATAAACTAAAATAGATCTGTAGTAATCATTTGTTAAAGTCAGATGAACGTGCCACTTGATTGTTAAGACCACAATACTCCAGATTTCTCTGTGATTTTTACTATGCAAACATGACATTATGTCCTTTCTATTTATATAGAACCTTTGATCCAGCGTGCCAGGTAACAGTTTAACTCTAATAACTTTATATGAACAAAATCCAAACAAGTAGTAGCCAATAGGTCATAATAAAACCCATTTCAAGACAGAGAAGACATCTCAAACCATGAGGGAAGATAGTATTTAGAAAAGACAAATAATAATAAAGAGCAACAAAAAATGAATAGTGGTAAGAATATTGTTAAAAAATGGACAAAGGGAATGAATCAACAAGTCGTTGAGGGTTTGGGAAAGAGTTATAACGTTTAGGATTACTGAAACAGTGCAGACAGCTCAATCCTGGGAGGTGCTGAGCACCTTCAACTGAAGTTGATGGCAACTGAAATCGTTAAGACCCTCACAAGATGAAATTCATGGAATAGAGGCTGTGAAACACAGAAAAGAAAAAAAGACAGCCATGATCCTACAACTCTTGAACATTAATAGTTCCATTAACTCCAGAAGGACTGCTTGCATAAGTAAAGGCTTCTCACATGAAGGAAGTTTTCCAGGATCAGACCCTATGTGAATTGCAGGACTTTAACAAGTTTTGCAAAAGTGATAACTTTTAATTAAGGTTCTGAAGTGTCTCACCTCATTTGCTGAATGTACCATTACTACTGTGTATTAAGTCATTTTAGCTGACCAAGGACACCACCTCTTATATATCACAAGTTCTCTGAAAGATGAAGATATTCCCTATCATCTCATTTGAAATACAGATATAAGAAAGGCTTTAGCAGCAACATTTAGTCATGCCACCAGAAAGTTCAAGAAATTTAGAATTAAAACAAACATGCTTTTAATAGAAAAGAAAAAAAAAGGTTTGTATATGGTTTGACTGTAATTGTTTTATATATAAAATTTGTGTAGGTGGGTGTGTGTACACCCCTCCCCCCTAAAATCACCTATAGTGTTCTGTAAAAGGTAATGAAGAGGTGGAGCACAGCAGAGGGGAAGGCAGGGAATGCTATCCTGGATTTTAAAAGAGCATCTGTATATTTTTGTGACATTATTCTTCAGACTTTTTACACTAAAGAGGTATAAAAACTAAGGTACACCCATCTAAACACCAAGTAGAAAAGCTGTCCCAATTCAGTGCTTGTACAGTATATGCTGATTTGAAAGATCATGAAGTAATGTATTAGGTATAATCATAAGCGGATGAGTTCAACCAGTATTATCATTTTTTCATGCCAGAGTCTCTGATCAAAAATTAATTTTTCAGAGGTTGAGTGGTCTGATGTAAAAATGTTCAGTGTGTGTTACTGAATCATGTCCAAAGTTCCCTCAGAAGAAAATACAGTAGCTACTCTTATTCAGAGGTTTCAGATACCATTGACAAGGTACTCAAGATTAGTCACCTGAATTGAAACATTCAATTCAAGATTAGTGTTATTCATGCCAGTTTTCTGCAAATATCTATTTTTTAATAGAGAGATGTATTCTCTACCATTCAGTATTTTTTCTTCTTCTTATAGGAAATTAATTTCTCTCATTCTATTAATGATTTTTCTTCATCATGCTCCATTAAGTGGAGTTTCCCTCCAAATCCAAAGATATAATTAATTGTCTTGGGCCATTTCAGTTCAAACATGATCTTGAAAGTTCCCATCACAGCAGCATCCAGCTTCACCAATAGAGAATGTCACCATAGATAATAGTGAAATTTTAAAAAGCTATTTTCAGTAGGTTTTGATTTTAAAACTTTGAAACCTAATGTTTTTCCCTTTATACCAGCACCTATCTTCTGTTATCTTTCTCCACCACAATTTAGACTATAAAATACAAAAGCAAGTAAACATTGAACTGCAATTTGGAACTGCCAAAGGCCAAACAAAGAAGAGACATCCCTGGAATTTATGGTTAAAAAGTGTAATTGTCTGGGGATTTTTTTTTTTTTTTTTTTTAATTCAGCCTGTCCAAAAAGGAACTCTGAGTCCCAGATGGATTCACACTCTCTTTGGAAGCAACTATCCTAAAATGATTACAGAGCAAAAAGAGACTTTATTTGCCTGCAGCTTCAAGGAATGACCATCAGAACAGCCTGCTCCTTCACGCTCTCTCCCCACCTTGTAGGTGGTTCTAGACCACCATGCTCATGGAACTTGAGCATCTGGCTTAAAGCCAGGAACTTCAGAATAGGCTTCCTTTGCAAACCTCAGACCACACCTCCAAGACAACTTCCTCCTCTTTCAAAATAGCTGTGGGACAGGAGACACTATTTCTAGAGACAAACATGGGACAGGATAATGTCAGTGAAAGAGGTTTCCCCTCATATGTCTCAGAGTTTACATTCCTTGTTAAAGACAATTTTTAATGTGCTTTCATTTTTTATTTATTTTAATTCAGAATTGCAGCAAATGGATCAGAGTCTCAGTTGCATAGTTCCATCTGCTTATGCAGTTTGACACCAGCTGAGAATCTGCCCATATGCATTTAAATATACCAACTGAGCATGCATAATTTAACACTTTTTCTTTACTTTAACGTAAGAGTAGAGAGTCCACTTAAGACTTCATTACAGTAAGGCATGACAAGAGAAGAATTATTTGAAAGAAGGTCTATGAAAACTTCATTTGACTAAATAAAATATTTTAATGGCAAAATTATTTCGAACTACATTTGTGGCAGTGGGAAGGGCAAGTTGCAATTCCCTAATTTAATGTAACATTTTGTTGGTAAAACAATTTCAATATCTATCCATTGAGGCACT